CCCCCCGGAAATCTAAGGCTGCTATCGTGTCGACTTGCTTCTCTCTACTCAAACAAAACTTAGATAAGAAATACAGCTCGATACAGAATGATGAAAATGCAAACGCTTTTGGCGAATAAACGAAGTGTCCATGTTTATACGCGTGGGCGTTGCAGGAACATTGCAGGAGTGAGCTCAACAATACGGCTCGGCAAAATCAAAGTCATGGGTCCAGATAACTTGTTATTTCCCCCTCCCCCCCCCCACCCCCAACAAGAAACAAAACAAAACAAAAACAACCAACAACCAAAAAACCAACCACCCTACCCCCCCCTCCGCCACCAAAAACACCCAAACCCTTTCCAAAGCAAAATGAACCGAATCACAAAACTGTTATTATCATTTTTAAATTTAAAAAATTAAGAAACAGGGGAATCATATGCAGATAGAAGGGGAAAATGAATCATCCATGCGCATTTGGTAAGCAAATCTAAACTCATACGAAGTAAATTTCTCCACTGTATGTATTTGAATGGTACTATTATTTCCTATGACAATCATTTCGGATAAAAACACAGTGAAATAAACTGCTCGAACATCACATTTTTGTGAAGTATATTTTTCATAAGATATTGAATAACAGATTTACAGAAACGGTATCTCTGACAAGTATAGATCAGTTCATTAAAAAGGTGCAGGCAAAATCCGGTTCATTTGGAAACGGTTATGTGGTCAGTTCTCCATAAACGAATACAGACGATACGATTATAATATTATGTTGTGCTCACCAACTCCCCGACTCTACATGTGTAACGAGAAATGTAAACTGCACTTCCCCAAAATAACCTTGGAAAAAAAAAACGCTCCATCTATGACTCAGTGACACACCGGCTTTAATCAATGACGAACACATCCTAAAGCGGTGACCTATCAGTACAGGCAGAATGTATACACGCGAGTGCGGCACAGCCGTGAACAACGGGTGTTTAGGGTAGAGGACGTTGCATAAACACCGCCTACGGTTTGGAAGACACTCGTCAATACACAAGACAAAAGGGTGAGTACTGCCAGGAACAAGGCATGGGCCAACATGGTAAGTGGGCGGGCGAAACAAAAACTAACTACAGACATCCAAACGAAACTGCCTGGCGTTATCTCCTCGAGACTATGATGTGGGTGGCTGGTGGAAGGTCTGGTGTGGTCTCCTTTTTGGACGCAGTTCGACTCCCCTTTATTTCACCTGACACATTTAGTGTTCAAAAACCGGTACTTCCCATTTCAACTCCAGCTTGCAAGAAGACCAAGACAGTACCGGGGAGCTTCAAACACCTACCTGTCAAAGATCAAGTCGTGGAATTTTTACAGGGACCAGACCCGGAACGTGCCAACTACGAGAACATAATATTATGTTACCCTTTGCACCACAATACCTTTTGCCAAAATGTACTGCCCCTTAGACGCTCAGAGTAAGAACATGACTGCCCCTTAGACGCTCAGAGTAAGAACATGACTGCCCCCC